AATGCTTCAGGGCCACGTGATTACGAGTGGAGAGGGCAGGCAATGGAACCTTCTCTGGTTTTACTGCTGTTCTTAGACATTGCAGTGTTCAGGCTGAGGGCCCGCTGCACGTTGGTGCTGGAGCCCCGGCAGCACGGTGGCAGGCAGGCACTCACTTCCCCTTTGCAGCTCCTCATGCTCACTCTGACTCCCTTCATTCACACCTCTGCGTTCTCTTCCTACCTTCCCTTTTTTCTCCATCTACTTCTCCCATTAAACATGCAATCTAAAGATAGAGGGATCCTCTACAAACAGGTCTGATTCCTCACTTCTGGGAAGCGGAAACTGAATCCAGCTGCTCTGTCTGCATCTACCTGCAGTAGTTTTGTACAGGAAAGAGGTGAACTTGGGTTAATTCCCATCTGAAGGCCAGTAAACACCCAGCACTGCCACCGAGGTCTTGTAACAAGAGCTGCCCTCGAAGACGATGTGAAAAGGAATTCCTGTAGAATTTGAATTTTAAGGTTCAGCTCCCTGTATTGCACATTAATTCAGTCTTGAGATGACACTAAAAGTGTAACAGTGGTTACACCCACGTTCTTTGTTTCAGTTGCACATTGAACAGATGATATAACATTAATTAGGTTAATTCTCAAATTTGTTTACAACAGTTTTTGGCACTGGATAAATATTCTCAGCTTTCTCACCTCCACTGAAAATGCTAGAATTAGGGCCAAATGAAGTATGTAAGGCCAGCTGACTACTTGCTAGATGTTGTAAGCTTCATGTTGGAAAATGATTTCATTAATACCAACTTGTCATGTCATTGGTACAGAATATTGTAATTTTCAGGCATGCAACAACTATTTCCCTGAGTGCTGTAAGTCCTGTATTGAACGTGATTTGGTTTGAAGTACGTGTGCGTTGTGAAGGCAGCAGACGTAGCTGTCAGCAGGATTAGCAGCTCCTGCATGATGCACTGTGGTGCTGTGATGCAGAGAAAACAGCTTGGACCTCCAAACTGAGAGAAGTGTCAGGGTGGCACTGAGCCTTGCTTATATAATGAGGTTTCTCAAGGCTATTGACAGCATTACGTCCTGAGGTAGAGTGCTTGAAACTGGCTTCACTTATTCAGGACAAACCTTTATGTTTCTAAGCCATGATTTTCTCAGATCTGTAGATCTGTTCTTTAAAGGTGTTCTGGATTAAACTATAGGAAGTGCTTACTGGCACTTCCAACAGTGTTTAGCTTGTGCAGTTCCTATCTCCTACATGTATTCAGTTTGCAGCATGCAAAAGAAGCATATTACTGCTTTTCTAGCTTCTATATTGAGACACAGCTGCTGCACATAGGACCATATGCAAACATTGCAGTTACAGAGTTATTAGGGTGCCAGAAGTACCAAAGGCATGTGGCATACAGCCTGTGTTTTGGCTACGTTTGTCTTCCAAGTTAAAAAAGCCAAAAGCAGACATCATTTGATACATAGTGCTTAGATTAGCACTAGGAAAAACTTGTATTAACTCAGTGCAGCTATTCACCACATCATCCCAATGACATTCCTCTAAAAGACTTCACTTTTTAAATTCCATTGCCTGAGTTGGAAGGGTTCCTATCTTTCAGTTGTCCATCTCACTCACTGCATCGGTATGAAATGCTCTCAGCTCTACTTAACGATACAGACAGTGACTTAGTGGCCTTATTCCCAATAAAGGTGATTAATAAATGTCTTGAAAGGTGTAACTCAGGTATAGTTTGTAGCATACTTCCCAAATACAGCATAGCTCTAACTTTATACTGCTTGAAAATGGCGTTTATTGGTAATTAAACTGCTGAAAAGAATTATTTGGAAGGACTAAAGCTCACTCTCATTCTGTTTTCTCAACACTGAAGCTAAATTTTTTTCTTTTTAAAATACTGAGACATTTTTCCTATACAAAACTGCTGACTGTTCATCAACAGGCTCGCTTACCAAAGCCTATGCCAAAGCCAGCTCAACAGAAGCAAGAAAAGATGGAAAGTGAGGAAAACATCTGTGAAAACAAGGCCAGGACGCGAGCAAGAGGCAGACTGCTCCAAGATGAAGAGAAGCCAAGTAACTTGCACCGGACGCTTCCCCAAACAGAGCCTCAGCAGGTGAGGATTTTGGCACTGCAGTAATGCATGGTGTCTCTTGGGAGGTCACTCTCTTAGCTTGCTGGTCAGCTTTTGGGAAGGGCCAAGAGAAGAAGTGCGCTTGAAAAAAGTGAAGCACTGAGTCATGAGCACCGAAGCGGGCAGACGCTTATTGGCTTGGTTATGGGAAGCTTGCGGCTTTGTATGTTGTGCCCAGGTAAGAAGAGCAAAGTTGGCACGCTGCCTGTCTCAAACCTGGCAGGTACAGTTCTGGAATAGCACCTCTAATTGGGAAGCCTGCTGGTTTTTCTTCAGCATTCAGAATTACTGTACGTCAACAGGTTCACTTACCAAAGCCTTCAGCAAACCCAGTGAGACAGAGGCAGAAGGTGAAAGAGGATGCCTCTAAGTACCCAAGCAGGCCCCAGGCTCAGATAACGCACAGGAAATGCCATGCTGAAGAGAAGCCAATGACACTGAACAGCACCATGCAGGAGACTGACCCACAGAAGGTGAGGAGTTTGCTGTTAACTTAGAGCAGGCATGGCACGCAGGGAAAGAAGGATGAGCTTTGCAAAAAATGAGTGGCAGAAAAACTAACAGCAGTACAAAAACTCAAACCTAACACAATCACTGGAAGCTTTGCATATGGTTTCATACAGCTCCAAATTAACATTTGTTGTATATAGTTTGGTAGTAAAGCAGCATCCCAGTGTGCTCCCCAACAGATACAAGTGCTGAGAAAAAAACCAGTCATCTCCTGTGGCCCTTATTGGTATTTTTTGGTAGAAGCTAACAGCACTCTTTATAGAGTTCTTAAATTCCGACTCCTTAATCTGAGGATTTGAGAAACTAAACTAAACTAACTAATTAATCTCACTTACTGGTAACTACTACATAAAAGGGTTGAATGAGTGTGTTCTGTCTTACTCTTCCACCATCCATTTCTACAGAAAGAAGAAAGCAGATTGAGGTTTTACTAACATTCCAACTTAGTAAATATCCTCTGTCCTTGAACAAATTCAGCCCTGTTTATCTCCTTCACATAGAAGAGCAACATGAGGACACTTTTGAATAAGCACGAAAATGCAGCTTTATTATTAATCCAAAATTATTTGCTTCTGGCAGTCTGCTGATCACTGCCTGGAGACTCCAGTACAAGCTAGGAGAGAGAAGCAGAAAAAGCACAGCGGTACCTGAGAGCATCAGGCAGGAAAGTGGTGAGCAGAACAATGCTTGGAGACCTCTTGGCTGGTAGCAAAGTAGTCAGACTCTGGAGGGTCTCTGGATTTCTGACACAGTGAAACTTTTTTCTCTGAAGACATGGGGTGAGACTTCATAATCCTCAGATGGACAAGTTAAAAAATACTAGCAAATAAAAACAAGTAGTGCCCACCTAATCTCTGTTCCTCCTGTGTGTTTTGTATGAAGGCAGCAACTTTCACTTGTTAAAAAAGCAGCAGATACGGAAGGAGAGACACTCAGTTTTCCATCATGGCAGGGGGAGGGGGTAAAAGAAACCACTGGTATCCTCATAACATCCCCTGCTCACCTACACAACTGGACTGTGGATCTTCACATGGGAGATTTGCGTTTCCCTCCTCTTTGAGGAAAGAAAGGAGAAGTACATTTTAAATATCTGGAACAGCACCAGTCTGATATTTGGATTGTGTGTTCGTTTTGATGTAACCACTCTAAAAGAGAAGCCACTGTTGCAATATTATAGTGCTGCATCTATATGGAATGGTTTTGTAGCTCTCACTGAACTTAGTGCACTAAAGTTAAAACGCATGTCAGATAACAACTTGAATATTCAAGGGAGGAACTGGAAACGGGGGAAAAAAGGCAGGATGGCCTTAGTTTTGTATTGCAGACTTCCTTTCAATTTCTTCCCTGTAATTGAGGAGGTTGGTGCAAAAAGCTGCGTTTCATAGCAGTGAGGTTACGAAACTTCCGAAGGATGGTTCATGTACCAGGCTGGGGGAGGGGGAAAGCCGTGGCTAATTCAGGAACCAGAGTGATGAGAGTCTGTCTGTCAAGGGTTCTCCAGAGAGCAATTCCAAACCCTTCAGTCAGGCAGCTGCCTGGAGCAGCTAACTGCAGGCACCCCACTCCTACTGCAGCGCTCAGAGAGCCGGCCTGCTGCTGCTGTTCATAGGCTGAGATGATGCAGTTAAAGGCCTGAGTACGGAGCTCGGAGGAGAAGTTCTGTCTCCATGGTTTATCTTCTAAGAGAAGTACGTTCAGAAAAACATCATATGGCTGGGACAGTGACAAAGGGAGAAAAAAGAAGTGGGTCTGCTTTGTGTGATACTGCTAGGAGCTGTTAGATACAAACAAAAAGGAGAAACAGTTCTGTGTCACAAGGGGAGCGCTGGAGTGAGAGGAGGACAAAAAGAGTAGGACGGTTGTGAGAGACAGGACATGTGGCAAACAGAGAGGGTGGAAGGCAGAAATAACGCCTAGAAAAGAATATGGAAGTGATGAAATAGAGAATGAAAAGGAGCTACCTTTCTGTTGGACATCATAGTTACCTTTCTATCAGATGGGGCCCAGCTTTTCTTTAAAGGTAAAAACAGACATGTCTGTCATTGCGAGGAATAAGGCAGCTGATAACAAAGACAGGATTTCTACTAAAACTACTTATTGTGAATGTATGTAAATTTTTCTAAGGGGTGATGAAAAATACATTTTGCATGAACAAAAGGATAGTGTCTGGGGGAGTCAGAGCAGAGATGAAGAGTATGCTCCATTGCTGCTGGAGACCTAAAGAACCAGCTGCCCTGTCCAGCTAGGAGGAGGAACACGATGCATATTTGTGCTGCCTGTGATGAACCAGAAGGCAGAAAGTTACACAAGTTGAAGCGACACATCAAACTGCAGATTATTTTCTAGGTTTCCAGGCTTTATTCACAAGAATACTGTAAAGACTTAAATATTTTAACATTCTGCAAAGAGAGTTAAAGATAGACAAGAATTGCAGCTGCTCAGGAATAGACAACATCTTTCAAGGGTGTTTAATCAAACCTGTAGTTATGCACTTAATACACATCTGCAAATTCAAGAGTTAAGATTTGGTCAGAATTGTGCTGCTTTCTCTTGGGTAGCTTAAATACCTGGATGTTATCTTTCTCTGCTTGATGGCTTGATTTTTATTTTTAGTGCTTCAAATCTCACTCATGTAAATACTAAGGTTGTTATTACTGTTTGGGTTTTTTTTTTTGTCCCCTGCAGAAAGACACAGGAAGAGAATTACCACCACTCAACCCCCAAGCATCATTCTTTGAGTCCAAAAGGAAACTAGAGCAGCTCTTAACTACAGCTCATCCACTGTCTTTGCAAGAACCTGGTCTTTCTGTACCCACAATATTTAGGCTCGCGTTTACTGAAGAAAGATACCACTACAGTATAGCTATACTTGTACTTTTGTTTCTGATATTACTGTCCTTGTATTTTCTTTGATGCCACTGTTTCACTGCCTTCGGTGCAAGTGCGCCGACGTCCCCCTCATGGTGCTTTTCTCAAGGTTTCTTCACGGAAGATTTCAGTGTCAGGGGCTGAGAAAATAATTTTGTAAAATAAAGCTGTAAATGCACACCCTTTAAAAGCAGGTTCTTTTATACCTTCACAGTCTGCACCAAAAAGTTGTGTATGTACTCGAGTACTGCTGGGGGTTGTTCTGTACTACGAATTTGGGGATTTTTCAGAAATGAGTTCTTTGTTACAGACAAATTTAAAAAAAAATCATGAAAGATTGCAGCATGGTATTTAGTTATTTTCAACACCAGTATGTTGACATACGAGTTATAACAACATCTTTAAGGATTTTCTCAACAGCATAGGTAAATACTGATGCATTAAATGCAAACTTTTCCTCTCTTTGTCCTGCTGGGTAAAGGGGAGAGAAAAGCTGCAACTGCTGTTCAACAGAAGACTGAGATAAAGGCAAAAACCTGTAACGAAGTAACCACACTACTTTGTTCCAGCTCCATTTCCATCATACTTCCTTACCTTGTTACAATATGGACATTCACCAAAGATGACATTAAAGCTCTGTCTGCTGGAAGGAAGACCTTGTAGCCACTGCAACACAAATAACATGAAACAAACGTAGATTTTAATTAAGTTTAAAACACACCCCTTATCAGAGTTTTGCAAGCTTAGTTCATCTGGGATGCACCTGACACAGTGCAGGTCAGGTCAGTCTGTACAGCCACACAGTGAGGAAGGTTCACTTCCACACTGAGCTTGTTTTACTCCAGGCTGTTCCAATCACAGTGGCTTTTCTAGCAACCCGTATAGGAATTTGCTTCATTTGAAGCTGTAGGTGCACAATGCTGATTTTCTACCACTTGCCAGTCAGTTAAGCCAAGTCTGTCCCATTAATTCCTGTACCTCATACAGGCAAGCCTGATGAAAAGGTTGTCCGCATCGGGGCTCGTCGCACACTTGATCTGGCACGGCGCCGTGGAGGCGGTAGGCATAGCAGATTCCACAGTCCTTGGTGAAATCCTGAAAGCACACCAGCTGAGGTTTGAAAGGAAGAAGGGCTGAGACAGAGAAACATTTCCATCTATGTTTTTTGTTTTGCACCTTATTTGGAATCACTAAACATTGCTGCCTTCGACATCCATTTTTTTGCTTTATGGTATTAACAGTGAGAGCAGTTGCCAGATGTACAGGACTGCTGGGTTGCATTTTATCCCCTCACTGCATTACAGCTGGTTTGACAAGCATTTTCATACTTGGGCCCCACGGTTTCTTTTTCAAACACAATGATTTGTCGTTACATTGAGATATCAGAAACAAGACCTTGCAGTCAGATATTAATTTACAGATTTCACGAGTGAAAGCCAAGCTGGGAATCCAGTGTTACAGCATTGTCAAAAATTAATTCCGAGTTTATTTGAAATGCACCCGTATTTGGATGGCCTCTTGTCCCCTGTAAGCAGCTCTACCTAATTAGAACGTAAGTCATCAACATCCATAACAGAATGTTTGGATTTTCCACATCTCATTAGCTCCTCTGGAACTTCCTCTTTCCCTTTTAATAGTGAAACCTATTATTAATCGTCCTGCTGCTATGAGGGCCACAGGAAAGCGTGCACCTCAAATCAAAGGTTAACAAGTACTGACAATTGTTGCTTGAAGTTCAGAAGTCCTTATGACAATATATTACTCCAATTACCACTCTAAGTCTCTGACTTTCCCTGGCAGTTATAAAATGACCGTTTAGATTTTACTTACTCAGAAATAACGACTGGTCATTAACAAAAAACAACTTACACTTTTTTCTAACACGGCACGAGATGGAAAATCAATTTCTAAGAGGTCTTTCAAGTTTTGTAGTAAACTAATTTCTGGATCCCTGCAAGCGGGGAAAAAGGGAGAAAAAAGTAAATGGTAAGAACAGCAAATACCATTCTGTTTTCACACCTGTATCACTAAGGATGCTTACCACAAGTGCATGTTGTTGTTCAGCTTAGTTCTCAAAGGGTTAACCACTGCAAACAATACACACACATGGTTATATATCCTTATGATCCCCTTCTGTCACTTGCCCGATTCTACCCCTTCTACTTCAGCAATAAAGGGCGAGTCGTATTTGTTGGTGATCATTTTTTGGGTGGTATTCTCTTTTTTAATGACTTAAGGCAGCTAACTCAAGGATTGCCCTCAGTTTTAGAAACTGATCGTGCTGGCATTTAAAACACCAGACTGATGAATTTATTTCCCTTAAGAAGTTGGCAAAAAAGCTGTGCAAAGCAGAGTGCAAGGCTTAAATACTTCCAAACACCACTAGGACACATGCAGTAGATTATTAACTTATAAAAAGAAAATGGTAGTAAAATATAAATAGAACTGCATAATCATCAACAGGACATAAACCGTGCTAGGAAAGCACTAGGAAAAAATGGCATTCAGCAAACATCAGGCTGCAGATTTATGCTGTTAAAAAACAGTGACTGTGTCAAACCCTCCTGTACGCACAGCCTTGTTCCTGGCTCCACTTCATGCTTACCCAGGAGCCTGACACAGCTTTCTCTGGTGCCTGCTCACCAGAGAGCAGATTCTAGAAGAGAAACAAACGTTGCCTGTCTGCTGCCTTACCATGATCTGCTCCAAGGAAGTAACACTCAGGGAGCATCTTTGGATGCCTGGGATCCACCTCTACGTTCACAGAAACATTGCTCCCTACAGGAAGGAAGTCAGACATAAGCGGAGCTTTTCTTTGCAATCAACTGCTTGAAAACAGAAACATTAGCTTAGAAAACATTTATAAATTAATGAATTCAGACTGCCTTTAATTGCTGCAGATAATTGGAAAGTTGGTACAGTTCAGTTCAGTTTCAAACAGCAAATATTCCCCGTTATGTGATACCCTAAGAGCCCCAAAGGATTTGCTCAAAAATGTTCTGGATCCAGGTTAAAAGCCTTGCAGCACATTCTCTAACAGACAAACAAGTGAAATCCAACTTCTTTTTTTCCTAATTAACAGCTGCGTTAGGCTTGACCTTCTTGAATAAATTGGAAGGAATTAAATCGAAATCTAGCCTTCACTGAAGATCGTCTGTGACTGAAAACAAAGGCCTCAAAGCCTTTCACTGCCCTCCACTGACCTGAACTTTTTGAGGCTTTCCCTTCCTTCTCATTGGTCTTTATCAGTACGGTGGTGCCAAGACAAAGCCAGCCTGAACCAGAAATGTATTATCTGATCCACTGTGCTCCAACCAGCTGCTGACCTCAGTCCCCCCCGTTTCTCCCGTCACCCCAATGAAGGAGCTGCCTCAGCACCACCAGCAGCATTCCTGCCCCACTCCGCAGCTTTCAGGGACAACTTAGATCTGCTTTGGTCCATTGTACCTTCTCAGATTTCTACAATACGCAGTTGGCATTTTGGATTTAAGCTGAGAATCAGAAATCTTTTCAAAGATAACATTTTCACCTGTACTCCTAACCTAAGACTTTGCTAAGTTTCTCCTTTGCAAGTACAGGACTCCTTACTCTATATACACCAAGACCTTGAAGTGCCACGTGTCAGCATATGAATTAAGGAACTTCCTCAGATTGTTAACATCGTATGCCTCCAATTTCCTCTCCTTTCTCTGTCCTTTCCACCTGCCTCTTTGTCCTCTCTTTCCCCCTTTGGACTGCACTAATTCTCCTTTCACTCTACCAAGACAGGGACAATCTAAAACAACAATCTACTGAAAAACTGGAATTTGTGAACGAGATCAGGGATTCTTCTAAGCTCTGTTCTACAAACACTGATTTTCTAGAGCTGTCATGCCAGTTCTCTTTGTTCTTAAGAGTTACGTGCAGTAACATGGAGATGAAACTTGCATTTTGTATTTAACATAGAGAACTGCTAACAATTCCATAAACAGGCGCAGTGTTCAGTGGAAGTTTGTCTTTAATACAAAGTAAGAGTTGTGTTTTACTGTTTTTAAGCCTTCTTCTTCCTGACTGAAAAAGCCACCACCTGGTTAGATAAGCAGAGGAAAAAAAGCATGCTGAGTTTACTTCTAAAACTCATGCATTCCTTCCAGTCTGTGTGTACCTATGGCGATCCTCCTTGCTGTAGCACCCCTGGCTGGATTTTCTGGCTCCAGTACCCACGTCTTCCCATCAATTTCATCCATGGTGTCCCAGAATTCTTTCAGCGATTCCAGAGCTGCCAGGAACTGATTGTGGATGGTTACTAAGGAGTCCTGCGAAAAAAAGAAATTTAAAGATTTTACGTGGTTTATACCTATGGCAATACAGAATATTAAAAAACAACTGCTGTCATTTAAGCAGCATTAAAATCTAGCACGCCTCCACTTAGAGTATGGTAGACAAAAAAATGCTGGACCTTATATAACAGCACTTTTTAATCGAAGCAACATAAAGTAGACAACTGTCTTCAGCACAATTTCTCCACTCTTGGTACTTCCAGCACGTTGTGATAAGCATACATCAAAACTGATTGGAAAACTGGTGACAATTACAAGGTAGATTTAAAAAAAAAAAAAAAGCTATGATACGTAGCTAAGCAATGTTATAAGAGTCCCAAAATTAAGCAGCATAAAACCTGGGACATAACATCATGTTTCAAACCGTGCAAATGCTGCAAGAGAAAGAGAAACCATGCAATATGCAGAGGATTACACTCAAAGGATTTCAATATGGAGAGTGGAATAGGCAGAATAAAAAAACCCCAGTCATTATACAGGACAATACAGAGAACAGCAATGCAAAAGAAGTCTTTTAAACATTGCTGAGCAAAACAGATTAATTCTTCTAGAGGAAGTTTTCAAAATAGAGGAAATACTTAGGAGTCCAGCTTTCAAAACGCAGATGCCAAAGGGTGCAAAATACAAAGAAGAATTCAGGGAGCCAAAAAAAAGAGGTGAAGAATGCAATAGAAAGCAGGAGTAATGCTCCATCCATGCTTTGATCCAAAGTAAACCTGTGTCTGGTATAAGATGGAATGAGCAGAGAAGCTTGGAGTGCCATGAACAGAGCCCAGAGAACAGCAAGCACTCCACACACAGCTTCACGTGGACACGCGAGGCTGGGATTTGGGAGTGCTGAATTTGGGAGTACTGGAAATGACTCACACAAAACACAACTGAAAAATCAGATGCATGAGTAAAAACAAGGAATGACAGAACACTGACACAGGCTTCTTCAGCTACAATAAAGAGATGGGAAATTAAGAAGATGTGACAAGGGTCACATTTTAGAGATGCTTTGGCCCAGGAGCCAGACAAGTTCTGGGTGTGAAAAAGAAAAAGCAAATTAAATACTGCGCTCTAAAGAGGTATTTTTCTACAAATAGCACGAAGCTTGCATGCACCACTCTCCTTTAATCTTTTAGTAATTATGCTCTTTCACCAGAACAAAAAGTAGAAATCATACATATATATATATGAGATGAAAAAAATGTTGGTTTTTTTAATATACCAAGTTCTCATATTTTAAGCACACATATTCCAGAGAGAAACAGAGCAGCTTAGAAATAAAACGCTACGTTTTTCCCTGCTGTTATTAAATTAAAGGAGGAAAGCACTTAAGCAGAAAAGTGTGAATACTGCCAATCTCGAGACGTAACGCTTATTATCTTTAAAAGCATTTTGTTACTTTTATAATACCTGAAGTGATATAATAGTGTCAGTCACTTAACCACATCTTAGAGTATAATATCTTCATCTTAAGTACTATTATTTCCAGTATTTTAATAATTTTCACACAGTCCTGAAATGTGATCTTTTGTGCTCTGATGACACTTAAATTAATAGCATAATTTTCTGGTACTTGCAACAGTTGCTTTCCATTTTGATTTTTTACATTTTTCTGTATCACATCCAGATAAATCCTCTAATAATCATTTTTATCTTTATCTTCTGGGAATTCAAAGGGTTTCACTAGAAAAAAGAAACATCAAGGGATTATAACCCACAGATAAGTTTTAAAATCCAATTAATTTTAATACTAATTGTAATTTTTCAATGGTGTTCCTTAAAAAGGTAGTTAAATCTTTTCTTAAACGCACTGTTCATTTGATCTTATTTGCATGCTTCATTGATGCTGCCAGCTGTCTCCTGCTATATACAGAAGTGCATCTATAGGTATTTAAATCCATCACACGCTTGTCATGCAAACCATGAGAACTGTAGCACTCCTTTTTAGTTGATGAACCAACTGGCTTCAGAAAAGCGCCGGGCAATAACCAAGAAGACCATCGTGCTTTTTTTTTTGTCTGTACTACACCAAGATGGCTGCTAACAGCACCACAAAGTGCAAACTCTGTTTCTCAGTAACCTCTTCACAAGCACACTACAATTTTAATGAAAGAAGTCAAATATTCTTTAAAAAAAAAAAAAAAAAAAAACCAACAAGACACCATTCACAAAATCACTGTTGGCTGCCCACCTGACTCTAAAAACCACCAACAAAACCAATCTGGTTTCACTCCACCCTCTGTAATTATTAGGTTTCCCTGCCCATCAGGCAAAGCATACAGTATAAAAACATAAAGAATCTTTCACAACAGCTTAAAACAAAACAAAGATAATTTTATGTTTAGAATAGACCCTGCCTATTATTTATAAGTACAGAGGCCACTGAGCCTATGGCTAGAACGGGGCTAATTCACAGCTAACAGAGGCTCAGAAATCCTGCTGCGAAGCCTCGATGCAGTTTGTTGTACCAGTGGGTGTGAGAGTCTTCTCTACCTGGGTCACATGCTATTTCTTCTCCTCCAGTCAGCATCTCTCAGGTTTTTCATAGTTCAGATTGTGAGTGCAGAAAGCAAAGGATACAGTTAGTACAATTAGTACAATTAGTGATGACAGCCAGCTCTCCCTCAACGAAGCACATATCCAGCCTCACCACACCAGCCCTCCCAGGCTCTGTCAGACAGAAGTCTGAGAGGTGTTCATGTCACACATGCTGCACAGCCCTCAGGACTGAACGGTTCCTGGTTTGGAAGTATGTGATTCTGTGATCTGAACTTCTGAAAACAAGTATTACAGAGACTGGGTTATTTTACAAGACAACAGATGGAGGCGTATCACCTTCACATCACTGACACAGAACTCCCCATCAGTCTTAGAGATCTGATCCCATTTTCAGCTTTTGTGATATCAGCATCCTCCATTCATTGCAGCCACTGACAGGAGATGAATCACTTATTCTGATCAGTGAAAATCCGGACCTATCAGATATGCCAGTGATACTCTGGACCTACCTGGAGAAGAACACATTCTACTGCTGCTCCTGTTACTCCTAAGCTTTGAGTTTCCTGCCTCTCCCCCCACCAGCCTCACCCTAACAAATAGTCTTCTACCTAGGAAGAGTCTCAAGTAGTTCTGCAAAATTTGATCCTATTCTACTCTCTGCTCTCCCATCTCCATCCCATCACCAGTCCTCATGCTAATTCGTCATTCCAACTCAAAACACTTCCTCCCCAGTCACTTCAATTAAATGAATAAGAAGGAATAGGGGGAAACAAGTCACTCTACTCCTGGTTCTTAGTTATGGAGCTAGAAACTTGAAGGAAGTGCTACATGATACATGACAACATTCCTGACAGATCTCAAATGCCTCTTCCAACTCCTGGATGGACTAAATACAGTGAGAAGGCTCAAATTAAACACAGTGCATTTGACTAAAATTTATAAAATCAAGAATAAAGCCTGGTGGGGTTTCTCTCTTTTGTTCTGTTGAGTACTTTTGTTGTTGATGCTGGGGTTTTTCCTAATTCTTCCTAACATAACATTTGCTGACCCTTAGAAATACAGTAAAATTAGAAGAACCACAAAGCCCTCTGAACTGAAAAGGTAAAGTAGACTGAGCTATGAATGCTGCCATCTGCCTCCTGTGTACTCCCAGATAAAGAACCATTTAATAAAGGAGCAGTTGCTGGCTGGCAGTGGATCACCTGTATTACCTCAGTAATTTACCACTCTTTAGATTCCTTGGGGCTGCTCTTTATTTCACACAAACCAAACTTGAACAATTTTCTTCCTCCTTAGCACAAACTAAAGTCAGACACAACACTCTTTACATCTTTACAAAGCGTCAGCCGTTACTGTTTTTTGTATTGATAGATACACAGAAAGCAGATCTGTGAAGCTCCTTTGCTAAAAAAAAAAAAAAAAAAAAAACAACCAAAATTATGCCATGTTTTACTGCGTTTACATTAAAATAAGCAAATAATCTCATTCATATCACTATACTTTCTGAATTTTGTATTACTGCATCGTTGGCTGGCTGTGTGACCTCATTAGTCATTAATTTCCACTCTCCTGACCTTCATGTAGCAAACCAGGTGGGCAATGGTCAGTATAGAAACAATATCCTGATGTGAGGGCAGCAGAATACAAGTGTGCTGAAATGCAGAACCACGCTGACAGTTCATACCGAAATCTGTAGACAGAACATTTATTGGGTAATTTAGAAAAAGAATATAAGTGAAATAAGTAGATGCTCTTGCACTTGTCATTGAGAAGCACTCTGCATTTATTTGGCACTGGGAACAGTAGCGGCAGCAGCAGCATTGCCCTTGGTGCTGATTTCTTACTACTCTAAAATGTCTCCTCTGAGCCAGAATGCACTGGCTGTTGCTGATCATGCTGTGAGACACCTGCACTGGCTACTAGGCTTGTCATGACGCACAAAACCCTACCATCTTCAGCTTGACATTGTGCAAGTTATAATTATTCATCCAAATGAATATGTCAGAGCAGCAGCAGCAGACCTCTCATCAGAGCAAAAGAAAAATACATCAAAACATTATCAACCCAGCAGGAAGACAGGGACCATAAGGAAAATTACCCATTTTTAATATGGATGCCATAAAGCCATGTCTATTATTATACCAAATAAAAAAAAAAACAACCAACAAACCAGCCACCCAACAACCCCTCAAGTTTAAAGTCCACAAGCACTGAAAAGAACCCCAAACAGGCAACAGCAAGGGGAAAAAGTTCAGCAAAATCTATTACCAGAAACCTAATTATATTTTCTTCCACAAGAGTTTACATTACAACAGCACAATTGCATATTTGTCAGTTAAGCCTTGTCAGTTTTTACATCAAAGATGACCAAGAAATATTGAAGTTCCATTAAAACTTCATAATATTTTACTGGTAGATAAGTACAGCGTGCTCTCTTTCCTTTTAGGTACCAAAATTTTTAACCACTTGAGAACCTGCTAAAATCAGCTACTGCTGTTGTTTCATCTTTATTTAAGTTTAACCCTTACCCTCCCACGATGCTCACTTTAAGAGTTTCAATGCACTTTGAAAATAAGCACAAATTTAAATAGTGTGAGGAACACAACATTTAGGACAAACATTCTTTTTCCCCAGAAGTCACACTCAGAAGATCAGCTTTGACAGCAGACTGCACACCTCTCCCATCAGAAAGCACAGGCTGTTGCTATTTGCCTCCACGGCACAGCAGACTGTCTGCAGCTGAAAGCAGCCTCTTATGATTTCAGAACAGTCCTGAGTGACGTACATACATCTATCACTTGTGTTTCCAACCACCCCAGAGGTAATTCTAACTGAGTGTCATATTTGTTAAGATCACATTTTTTATTTTCCTGTAGAGTCATATTAATATATTTGCTCGCATCTTTTAACTGGTCAAAGCAGGTTGCTTTTGTTATGTTATTCAAGTACATCACATTAAAACCTAACGTAAAGCTGGTAGCTTTGTAGTAACTAAGAGTACACCCAGAGCAACACCTGTCAAGGATATTTGAAATGCTTTTAATTTGAGGTAACATACACTGCAATGACATAAAAATTAAGAAAACGATATTAGAACTGCAGGTAACTCCAGAGGTAAGAAACAGCATTTGAAATCCTGCCTGTAATATTAGGAAAACATATTAGTGCCACATATCAGTAAAATTTAAGGAGAAAAACAGCACCTATTCAGATTGTTCAAAACTGCACCAGGGAATCAAAAACTAAAATAAACACAGCTTTTATTTGCAGTGGTTCATTCTTGAAGTTACTTCCTCAGGCTCCCAAAGTGGATCTGAGGTGATGCACAGAACCTCGAGCTCTGCATCTCATCTGAAAATCATTCTGATGCAATCACTGGGTCACGTCCCCCACACAAACTTAGCAGTGTCAACATGAGCTTTACTGATGGGCAGAAATCATCGCAGGAGTTAGAATTATGAAATGCTATCCGTCACTTGAGCAAAATCTGTTTTTCTGAATTAAATGACATCAAATCTCAACCACTTCCTAGAGATAATTCACATGAACTTGCTTCTAAAGTGGTCACTTCTAGATCCATTTCATCAAGGACGCACACTCCATTAAGGGAGAGTGAGAAATGAAATAAAGCAGGAGACAAAAAGACAACAGCTTACACTGACAACTGTTAAATTACAAAATTTGAATTCTCTTGAGTATTTTCTTGGTCTTTCGGTTACAAATGAAGTTTTCTTATGTCGTGGAAATCATTCAGGATAACAAACTGAGGGAGCTGTGGTTTTTTGGTTGGTTGTTGTAGTTTTTGGTACAGCAGCCACCTTTGGGTGGTGCTTCTCTGCATAAAAAGCTTACTGTGCACAGCATTTCCTAATATTTCTGAAGGCTTGAAGTTCCAGCTGTACATACAGCTCGAGAGAAAAGCAGTACGAGTGCAAAGCAATCAACACACAAAGTACACATACATGAAAAATGCCTTAAAAGCAACCTCATAAGGAATACAAAGTTCAATTTTACATTCACAGAAGCAGGCCTGTAAGTAAAAAGCACACAGTTTTAAAACTGAGTTAAAAATGAAGTCCAGTGCATCATTACCACCTACCTTCATATGTCTCAGTTATTGAAAATAAAGGAGAACAATAACAGCTACGTGGGTTTACCTGTGGCATCCAGGAAATGGCAAACTGAACAGGAAAATCCACAATGCAGTCTGGTGGCTCAGTAGGATACTGAGGGAGAGAAAAAAATATATACAGTTCTGGTTTTGGTAGTTGTTTTGTGTTTTTTTTTTCAAATATGATTAAAGTCAGACTGCTACTCAGCTGCCAAATTCAATAATGAAGTTTAAGCACTTGATACATCTTGAGAACTTGGCTCCCAAAGGAAAAATATGGAAGGCATTTTCAGAAATACTTATAAATGTTAATTCTCTTTTAAAGAAGAAATCTACACGTAAAGAGTTCTTGTGTATCGGGCTTTGAAGGAGGCAGGAGGATCACAGCTTCCTCTTCACGTCTTTACGTAGGCAAATTAAAAAAGAACTTCAAAAACAGATCACAGAAAGAAAAATAGAAAATATTTCTTGGCAACTTGATGGCATGTGCTGAACAGAAGCGTCCCCCTTGCTCCTCAATTGCCTGTAGTGGATACAAAAGTTTAAAACAAAACCAACAAAACAGAAGAAATTCCCCGAGGCAAGGATTAATTGTCAACTGAACCAGAACATTTGCTGAGATTGGAAGTGCTTTTTGTTTTGAAACTTAATCAAAGCAATCATGAAGACAAAGTTAAAACTAACAGCTATTCTCTCCACCTGACCCCCAGATTAAAAGGTATCAATTAGGAAGAAAAAATACATTTAAACAATTGACTGTTTTTTAATAACTAAAGGCTAACCCCAATCACTGATCATTCATTACACTTGTAAAAATACTGCAGCTCAGCTTGCCACTCTGAGATCTGTGGAGAAAAATGTATCCTCTGAAAAATAAAGCAGGGAAAGAAAAAAGCCCACTTTGTTACAGATAAACACCTATCCAAAATTTTATTCACCTGAGAAGTTGCCTCCTTTAGTCCTATGCAACATTTCCAATGCAGGCAGTGACACACCAGGAGGTATTGCAGAAGTTGTGCTGCTATTGCATAAACTGCTAACACCAGAAAACAGTTCAGAAAACCTTGCTTGAGCAGACATACAAAAAGGTCCCAACTTCCTCCCTGAATTAAAGGCACATGAAGCTTAACTATGCTGCTTCCCATAACCATCCTGCACTCACAATAAACCTCCACACACAGATATCATCATCTACCAGACATCCAGCAATCAATGTAATTTCTTTTTTAAAGTGCCCTTACATCATATACAGTGTCATTCTACAGGAACTGGTTCCCAGTTGTTCTTTACAAAAGAGCAAAAAAAAAGTATATCTTTCCTAGAGCATCCATTCTGCCCTGCCTTGATGTTAACAATGAAGTGGATTCATGCATTTCACAGAAATCTGTTTAACTTGCACTTTTTAGTACGCCTTCACTTGTAGCTTTCTGTCAGATATCTGCTTTCTGAAGACGACTCCTGCAACTTGAGCACTGTGTGATTTGCTATTTTATCAAACTGGAGGCAGACAAGCTAAAAAAACAGCAAGAGAGCAAGAGAACTAACAACTAATTTGGACAGGAGGCAGTTACAGTTTAGGAAAGTGTACCCACAAAAGCTGTCACAGTTTCTTTTACTGTAGCGTTCGCGTTATTTTTCATGAAATGCTTTAATGCTTGCATAAAAATAAACTTGTTTTCAATGTAAAAAACTTTGCCTAAAACAAACAGATCAGTTTCTGCATGGGATTCATTTTAGGACTGCCCTAGTTAAATATCAGCAGCATTAACCAATTAGGTGCTTATTTTCTTGGTAAGTAAATTCACTTTGTGCATTCTTTTGTATGCTGCCTTTGAACAAGTGGTTGCAAACAGATCCTACAAACATTATTAAAAAAAAAAAAAAAAATTACCTTATCTCTTTAATGCTTTTCTACCTTGCAGTGTGAAATCCTGTATAAAGTAACATGATGATTCTGCAGGAGACAGTATTTTACAGCACTATCCCACAGTGTATCAGCAGCACCATACACACAGATTGGTATGGTAGAAATCCTACTTTTCAGAAGAATTTAAGCAATTGCTAGAGCAAAGATTTATATACTGTATTTTGAGCATGCAGCTGATGTTATCTAGAAAAAACATTTTCAATAACCCTCGCCAAATCATTCACTTAATTACTGTCAAAGCATCTTGTTTACTACACGGCATGCAAATTATTGCAGTAGCTATTAGAGTTCTGAAATGGCAAGCACCCAACCCACTTCCAAGAACTAAAATATATGAGTTCCTCATGTAACACAACATGAAATCTGAAAAATAAAACCTGATGTATTTGGTTTTGTACCTTGCAAAGACACATATTTGGCTTTCAGAAACCTTCTAGCTTGCTTATTACATTGCAAGTGGAAGAAATTTTCTGCATCAGGCGTTCTCAGGCAAACTGAACTGAAAACTATTTCACAAAATGTAACCTGAGCATTAAACAATGCATCCTCTTATGAGGACAGTCCCAATAATTTACACAAGTCGACGCTGCGTAGCACTGGATCGCACAGACAGCGATGACACGATGCTCTCCATCCTTCCAGACTGAATTTGATTGCCCCACGTTTCCCATGTACTTTATAAATGCAGGTTATAGAGAGCAACCATTTTTAAAAGAGCAGTTCCTGATACAAAGAACACTGAGCCAAGGATAAGTGAAAACCTTTGACAAACTGAAAAGTCCTCCAAGTACATCCAAGCCATTAGGGATGGTAGGCACATTCAGAGGATTATCTGAATACACATTATAACATCATGAAGAATGATTTTCTAAACCACTTGTAGAAGTTTTCCATCCCGAAATCATTGTCGGGGTGCTTATTAACTCATCTCAGTGCATGGCATCTGCAAGGACAAGGCTGAAGCAACCACTCTGCCAGCAACGTGTGCTCAGGGGAGAGTTTAACTCTCAAACTAACCAAAGAAATAGCATAACAAAAATAAGCATGATTGAATTAAAGCATGCTACCAAAAGAAATCTCTTAAAAAGCACAGTCTTCTCAAACACATGAGATATGTATATAAAGGAAAAATCAAACCCTTGTGTCAGCAACATTTCACATATAAATTCTCTCCTCTGGCAAGTTTAAATGCCAGACAGTTTCAAAAGGACAAACAATTGATCCTTTCATCACAAAAATCACTTGAAAAGAAAAATTTGATGATTACTTTTCACAGCAGACAATTTAGATAATCTAGTCTTTTTATTACACCGCATCTTTAGTTGATAGAAGGTGCTTTCTTCTGCTATTAGGAGCCTCAGCCACACACATTTCATTACTATAAAGAAAAGCACAAGTTTTTAGAAGGACAGAAAATGGGTGAGCTTGATTCCCACCATGGTACAGCGATAAGTTAAACAGAACCAGCCAATGCAGAAGTGTAACATTGTTTGACTGGTTTTATCAGGTGCTTGAGCTTTACAGTTAAAAGTGCTTTACTTCAATCTCCATAAGCTGAAGAAAAAGCTTAGGGGCAACAGGCTGCATGCATTTCATTTCTAATGCCATACTAAGTACATGGATAGCAGCTCCCTTATAAACAATGCCAGTACAGCCAGGTTCTTGCACACTAAATAGCCCATAATTTTACCTCTTTTTTTCCCCCCCCATGAGTGTATTTAACAACCAAGTGACAAATTAATTATTTGTTCATTCCTGCGTGCATAAACACATGCATGTATATTTAGAGCACTTTTATTAGTTTTTGAAAACCTATGTTGATAACCAGCATTCCCTGGCAATTCTCTGTTGTGTCCTGTAAGGTAATAATTTGTCTTACATAAAACTAAAAAAACTGCTGCATTTCTATTTCTTCAAGAATACAGGAAGTTTCTGATGATGAAATTTAGTTTGACGTACAGTGTCCAGTTCTTATTCCTTCAAGATTATTATTCCAGATGATGGACCGATAGTTTCCAAATCGTATTTTACCCCTAAGCTGATTTTCTGAAGGTAGCAGCAATGACCATACAATTGCCATCACATAGCCCAGATCTTCATAGATTCTGGTAGGAGATTCTTGTCTTAAAACAAGAAATTCTACAAAAAGTATTACAGTTTGAGTGCAGTTCTAAGTGTTAGGAAGAATTAAAACTTTGCTGCTTCCATACATGCCACGGTTTGTTTTTTTGTTGTTGTTGTTGTTTTGCTTGTTAAATGCTTAAGAATGTCAATTCTGCAGTCAATCTGTCATAAATCTTTACAGCTCAAACAGTAAGACTTGCCACAGAAGCTACATAACATCCTCCAGTTCCTCTTATATGTTTAGTCTCTGGACTGAGTGATAATGTATGAAAGTCTCTAAAATAGCTTTATTAATTGCAGCATCACAAAGTGTTTCTCATGTGATGTGCAGCCTCTTGTAAGACCTTCAGACAACAATAACATATTAGGAATTTTCATTGAAGTTCAAGTCTGAAAATTCTGCATTTTACAAAACAATTTGTAAAAAGCCAACCACCAAAAACCAGATTATTTTGCACGACAGACATGCTATCAGACCAACTCTCTGAAATCCTTACAAATTAGAAAATTCATCTTTTCATGGAAATCTTGAAGTATTTTAACCCATATACATTCACCTTTGCGTTTAACCTCAGAGTGACCAGGTGCTGTCGACCACGAGAGTCCTCAGCCTTCAGCTTGATTGTGGTGAGCCCAGCATCCACATACGCGACTCTGAAAGAGAAAAGCAAGCTCTGACGGGATTTCAAGAACTCCAGTTTGAAAGATCTGTAACACTCTTATTAGTCTGATTCAAATATTCATCAGGGCAAGTCTGATATGCCGAGCATTTCGGCTGTTCTGGATTTACTGCTGTTAATACACCACTGCTTAATGCAGTCATACATCTTGGGGTTATTTACAGTGTGTGTCACGGCTCACGCTGTGGTCAGCGAGCGCTATGTTTCAGTTTTCCATCACTGGAACCTTTGACACACACAGCATGTTCCTGTCAGCCTCTACTTATGTACACATTAAACTTCCTGTCAAATCTTTGATCCATTTCTGCGGTTTCTTACACCGTGAGACTTTCATGCTCTCGATTTGCTTTTGTCTTCAATGAAGCTCTCTTTTGTTATCAATAATAGTATTTTTGAGAATTCGGTGGCTACCGGTTCACATTCTGAAATTGATTTTTCACAAAAAGCAGTTCTAGAACAGGTACAAAATGAGTTGTTTGCAGTGATTCACCTTTGTTTCATGACAGTTTCAAGCAGTATAAATGCACTCAAGCAAGTAGAAAGTACGTACAAAACATAAATAAGTTTTAATACAAAACCTTTTTGTTTAAGACGTTACTGATACGTACTTCCCTAAACAATGAAGATGATGGAAATTATGAAATACACTCTTCCACCAAAGTATGTTTTGCTGAGAGGCTTCAACAGCTGCCAAAAAGGTTGAGACTTATCCCTATACTGAACAGAGAGCTGAGTATGTGGGCGTTTTGACATTGTTACGGCACCATTCGCGGGTGATGATAAACAAGCAGTCTACAGTTGTTACACAAACTTATCACCTAGACTGAATTTCCAGAGCTCAAAGCAAGTATCTGCTAGCTAACCTAAGTAACGTTTTTCTAAATTAACACACACTAGCCCAGTCACTTCAACCAGCACACTGGAAAAAATGTTTCTCTTTCAAGAGCAAATACATACACAGTTGTAGAAGTCTACATAGGAAAAAGTAGAGCTACACATTCCTAGCAGGAGGTGAAAGGAACAAAGTGATCTCCGTAATCACACATGAAAAATAAGGTTGGAAAAAAGTACTAGTGCTACTGAGTGCTGAAAAAGACATTATTTCACATTTAATGCTGGATAATTTAAAGCAATATTACACTGGCCTACAAATTTCTGGGAATATTTTGCCACTCCTCCTGAACAGTTTAAAGAAACAGAAGTCTTGATCAAAATGTAGTCAATTAAATTCAGTTTACCTAGAGAACATTACAGCATTTCTCCTCCAATAGGAACAATCACTGCTCACACCTCATTCTAACTTTACCTCAAAATTATATTACACATTTTTATAAAGATAAGAAATTACTTACAACCCAGGCTTCCATCTACTGTTGCAGATGGAGTTGAAAAATGCCCGGAATGAAAATTCACTGCTGGTTTTCCTTTTTCTCAACAGAATGTAAAAAGCAATAAACTGCCTCCAGGGGATGAAGGAGGATTCAATTTTCCATTTAAGATAAAAGAAAAGAACTCAGTAGCTTACTGGCTACTCATTCTGTAACATCATTCTACCAGTCCCTGGATAAAAAAAAATAAAAATGAAGAAGCAAGTTCTGTACAACCAGGGGAAGCTGGATAACTCTGTAAAAGCCATATGAACTTCTTCATACGACCTCAGAATAGAAGAAGGGAGCTTAGAGGTCATCAAGCTCAACCTCCCTGCTAAAGCAGGTTCCTTACTGCAGGTCTCACAGGTAGGTGTCCAGATGTTCCTGAACATCTCCATAGAAAGATTCCACAACCTCCCCGGGCAGCCTGTTCCAGTGCTTCATCACCCTTACTGTAAGTAATTTCTTACTCATATTCATGTAGAACTTCCTGTGTTCCAGTTTTGGGCCATTACTCCTTGTCCTATAACTACACACCACTGAAAAGGAGTCTGGTCTTGTTAAATTGCCTCCTACACTTTAGATATTTATAAGCATTGATCAGATCCCCTCCCAGCCTTTTCTTCTCCAGGCTGAACAGCTGCTTTCTCAGCCTTTCCTCACATGGGAGACGTTCCAGGCTTTTTATCATCATTGTCACCCTGTGCTGGACTCTCTCTACAAGATCCCTGTCTTCTTTGAACCGGGGAAACAAGAACTGAACACAGTATTCCAGATGTGGCCTCACCAGGGCAGAGCAGAGAAGGAAGATCACCTTCCTCACCCTGCTGGCCACGCTATTTTTTATGTGCCCCAGAATATAATTGCCCTTCTTGGCCACAGGAGCACACTGCTGGCTCATGGCCAACCTGTTATTCATCAGGATCCCCAGGTCCTTCTCTGCAGAGCTCTTCTCCAGCAAGCCATCCCCTATCCTGTACTCATGCATGTTGTTATTCCTCCACAGGTGCAGGACTCTACACTTATTTCTTTGAATTTTCCTTTCCATCCAAACCTCCAGCCTGCTCAGGTCCCACTGAATGGCAGCACAGCCTTCTGGCACGTGAATCACTTCTCCCAGCTTCATACATCAGCAAACTTGCTGAGGGTAGACTCTGCCTTGTCATTCAGGTCACCAACAAAGACACTGAATCAGACCAGACCTGCTCCGACCATGGGGGGAACACAGGCTTCTTAGCATCCATCTAGACACTGCGCCACTGCTCACAACCCTCTGAGCTCCGCCAGTCAGCCAGTTCTCAACCCACCTCACTGCCCACTCATCTTTCTAAGCTTCTTTACAAGGACATTGTGGGAGACAGCATTAAACACCTCGCTGTGGTCAAGGTACACAACACGCACTGCTCTCCCCCCATCCACCCAGTGATGACAACGTAGAAGGCAATCACTCCAGTCAAGCACAATTTGGAGATGTCATCCACACGAGGGTGACAAATCTTACAGAGGTTTAATGCCAATAAGCTACCTACCTGAAGCACTTTCACTACCTCAACTAGTCAGATTATAACACCAGAAGAACCTTTTATTTATTTTACTACTATAAGGATTCACAAGCAAACTTCCCCATCTCAGCAAACTATTTTGTGCCAGTTTCTTCATCTTCTTAAAGTTATATGAGTAACTTCTTTTGAACACTCCAGCTTCAAGAAGGACAGCAGTTACTATAGGAAATTCAGTTAAACCGTAGAACCTATTCAAATGTGACCTTTGTGAACAAGTATTTGACTATGAAAGAATGTGTACTGCACACTAAAATTAGGTCAAAAAATAAAGCCTCCATTATAACAGAGAAAGCGATTATATCTAACAATGGCAGCCTGCCCACTTACAATATTCATTACTGGTTTTACTCTCAGCGGTTGAAGAGGAAAGAGGCATAAGATCACTTCAAGTAACGTCTACAATTTGTTTTTGAGAAACTCCACGTATTCCTTAGATAAGTTATTTGAATACACTTCTGCCATCCCTAAAAGCTTCTTAGCTCACGTTAGAGATAAGGGACTATTACCCTATTGTTTAGATTCTCTTTCAAATAAGAAAATCTTTCAGTTGGATTTGGATGCATTCAGAGATGGATTGGCTGGAGCACAGCCCAAAAATCTTACTGAGAAAAAGTCCACAACAAGCCAGTTTTTGTCTTTTTTTTTTTTCTTCCTCAAAGACTAAAGCTGATAAATAAAGCCAGATGTGTCACAAGGTGTGAGCATTTAATTGAAGAGTGTACTATGCTCAGTGATATGCAACTTACAAATACATATTCTCAGACCTGCTTGAAGAATATGCCATCAGCTGTACCCACCAGCTACATCCTCAATAATGGAAATTACTGTAGCTGATTTAAGAAGGACATTTTAAAGAGGAGGTCTTCAAAACAAATTCCCACTTAATGTTACTTACATATTACTTATTCATACGCAAAAGTGAGAAAACTTAGGACTATTCCTCAACATAAGGCTCTAGAAAAAAAAAAAAAATTACTTCATGTGGTGAAATAAACATGTTAAATACCAGCCAAGATTAAGAAAAAAAAAAGTAGATTTGTCATTCTGAAAGTTCCAACTGCAGACCTCCTGTTTCAAACTTTTGTTTTAGAGAACCTAAAATACAGCTTCTCATTCAAAACTCTTCAATCTTTCATCTTTGCCCCTTGAAAGAAGGCACTCAAATTAATTGCATGCTATCAGTAAAATTAAACACAGTCTACAAATTTATTTTCTCTGTGCCTACACAGAAATAACTGCCTTCAACTCCATAAAGGTTACGTAGATATAAGTCATTCCAAACTCTCTGCTGGAGGATTAAGTTGTTTGATATCAGAGAACTTGCTAGTAGTGACACGTGATGGCAGGTAAAGCCTTCCCAGAAGTCTGCAAATCGGGAAGCATTGCAGATTCCTGAAACATTTCTGCACAGACATTATTTGATCACAACCCCAGCTGCTTTATTTTTATAAGAGGAGATCCATGTCTTCCTTTGAAGAACATTAATTCGACACTCCTACAATCAGCTCATCTGAGGGCCTACCAGATTGTGAATAAATATCATCTGTTTGAACACATGCAATAGCCTAACAAGTTCCCAGATGCAGCTATGTGTACTTTTCTTTCCTCAACAAAGATAAGCATCTTTTGTGATTCACTACTATTTTACTTCCCTGAGAAGACCACCTGAATTTCATTCCCTATTTCATAGATACTCATTTTATACAACAGCATGGTACCCCTCCTGTGAAATCCTGCACTCAGGTGCACTAAGCCAACCTGACCAGGTAACACAGCTTACTCTCTCCTTGTGCAGTAACCAATTCCTTCAAAAGCAACATGGTCCCTGTTTGGGGAGACCCAAACATGGTCTACCTGCACAGCTGAGTCAAGAAAACCCACCAGATGCCTTTCATAGGCCCTCATCTTTGTTTGAACCACCTGGGTAGCCAGAAACAATCAATTTCTCTAGTTTCTCAAGGGCTGATTGTTCTGCAGTTCTGGAATAACAAATTCCCAAAGTCTCTTCTATGCTTTTTTAGTTTTGTGAAGAACCACCATCATGAAGTCAGTTATAATTATATAACTCACTGCATGACTGAAATAGTCAAAAAAAAAAAAAAAAAAAAGCCTATCAATATAGTATTGCTCACTATGTCAATAGTTTGTAGGTCAAGAATCGATTGGTTAGTAGTACAGTCTCAAACCCCAGCTCAGTTATCCAATACTGAAAAATGTGTCATCAGCTGGAGCAGGGTTTTGATTTATTTTTTTCATCCCTTTTTTTTTTTTTTTTTTTTTATTATTTACTTTTTTAAATAAAAAAAAAGCAGCAGGCTGTTTTAAAACTTTTTCTGAACAGGATAAATTAACAAGTTATATGTGAAACCAACACCTAACACATATGTAGGAGGGTATTTGACTAGGTAACAAAATAAACATACTTATTCCAACCCAGTATTTCTAGATCTCTGACAAGACAGGAGTAGTATTCTGGTGGCCTCGGTACATGCAGCTCTTGTGTATTCTTCAAAGCAATTTCCTGTTTAAAAGAATGTTAAAAACATCATTAAGGAAGATTTCAATATTTTTGCATCTACTTAGTTATGTGATTTTTGCGATTCATTCAAAATATTAAACTTATGTAAAATTAACTGTACACTGCATTTGTTTTGTTATAGCCTCCAGCTAAAGCAGACAAAAGCTGTTTGGTAAATTACTTCAGATACTGCTAATGAAAACATCCGCAATTTAAAAAAAAACACAGATGTTGACAACAGTCTTCAGATGCAAATATCAAATGTGCCTCTTTTTCATCTAATAAATTGGAAGCCAAGCATCTTGTCTGAAAGAACATTTCGAAAGAAGGTTCTGTGAAGCCCACAGCTGCCTCCTGAGCATCGCAGCCACATAAGAAAACATGGAATCCCTCATATACAGCCACACACTATCAGTCAAAAAGTTATCAGTGTCTCTGTTTTAATACAATAGGATCCCAGAGTTTGTGTACAGGCATTCATTAGGCAGGTGCCTCCAAAGTTCTATGAAAAACTTCATACCAAGTTACAGAGGAAAAACAACAGAAAAACAAACAAACACAAAGCCACTTGTTGCCCACCTTAGTGTTGCACTACTTGGACTTGAAAAGCATACTTAAAATTTTGCTCACAGATCATATAAAGTGAGATCTGTTTCCAAAACTACAGTAACGAGGAAGGATTACTTTCAAGAGCTGCTGTCAACGTCACTCAGCCTCAGAGCTTTGTACCTGACAGATGTGGAAGACACTACTGAAGCAGCATCAGGAGCAAGGATTTTTTCATTATTATTAAACTTAATTCTACCCTGAGATGCACAATGAAAGTGGATAGTCAAACTGAAAAAAAACAGTGTTCCAACAGGATACAGTGAAAAAGCAAAAACAGCTTGAGCAACCCACTGATATTGTGTAATACTTTTCTTGCATGTTAAAAAAACATTAAAAAAAACCAACACCACAACAACAAAAGAGAAAAAGCACAAGCATCGATATTCTGGATATTCTGCCACTTACCAAGATAGTTTTCAGCTCCACCACAAAACTGACAAGATCTGGACAACTGTGCAACCTCTGGAAGGAACAGAGCATCGTTTTCATATCATAACATCTAGTGGTAAATAATTCCAGTCTAAATATCTACTCTTCTGGTGTTATCAAGCCACTAACAAGGAAAAAAAAAAAAAATAATAATCTCAACCACATAAAATTTTAAATACCTCAATTAAAAAACAAGCCTCCAGTTCAGGGAACCTCAGTGAAAATTAACTACCATCTTTGTCAAATATCATCACGTAACACCTTTGTTACATGACTTGTGAAGACTTCATACTTCATGCATTTATCTGCATTTAGGAAGACTTTTATGGACACTTCAGTTTCTACCAGAAAGAAGAGATGCTTCTGAATTACTCAAAACATTTTCAGTTCAATTTTCTTTAAGAACTCTCAAGAACCACCTACTTCCAGATACTGCACATTCTAAAGGATCCTTGCTTGTCATCAGATGCAGCACATATTTACGCTCCTGTTTCTGTAGCTCTGTAACTTAAGATACTCCAAAGCTGCAACTCTTGTCCTACAAAGCAGCACAAAGTCTGAGAGATGCCATCTGCACATTTGGCAGATGTCTCCTTACATATATCCTGTAATATATCCTGTGATATATCCATAATATCCTCCATGGCTGGAGGGCAGTTATATCCTTGCTCTAAAAGTTTCTTCAGGACAGAGAGGTTTAACTTAGATTCCTTGACTGCCCACAACACAGAATGAGCTACATAAATCAACAACAACTGTGATTTTTTTCCTTTATGCATTATGAACAATTTATTATATATACGGAGAGAGAAATTAAGGAAAGTGTAAGATGTCAGCTGTAATTTATTATGAGTTCTACCTCAACCTTCAAAAATGAACAAAAGGAAAACAAACAAACAGAAAGCCTCACTCCAAACCTTGAATAAAAAGCGACTATTTTCTAATTCCAATCCATCTCACCTCACAGCAGTCTGCAAATACTCAAGCATTTCAAAATAGCACACCTTGCCTACAAGGTGAAATTAGAATTCTTTAACACTTTCAGAATGAACGTGAGTAAAAGCTTCACAAATCATACACACACACACACACACTTAAGAGAATCATCATAGATAGACATCTAACAGAAATGGTTTTAAAAGTAGCATACCTGTTTCAAAATATGCCGATATCCATGAAGGATCTTCTTCAGCTGCCAGCCACACTCTATCCTGGACAAACAGTACTTTGTATTCATTTTAAATTCATACTACATGATTTTGAGAAAGGATCACAAAGTTTGGTGCCAACAACATAGAAGGAATTAAACAATACTTCAAATTTCTTTGAGATTTCATATTCAAATACATTTCAACTTTTCAAATGTCACTATCCACAGCCCATTAGAAATTAAGCCTCTTTTTTTGCTGAAAGCAACATAATTCTTTCAAGCCAATATGACTTCATAAAAAAATACCAGTATTTTAAAACTCAAGCCTGAAAATGTCAGTTACTTATAATGGCATTCTGGCTAGCTGACCTAGAATGTAAAATCTACCTAATATCACTTGTTCACTGTTCACAGCAGGTAGAAGCATAGAGTGGAATGCCAAGAACGAATGCATACATGCATACATACAGTGCACATCCCTAAATACCACTGTGACAAACAACTGCACCAATAAGAGCAGGGCTTTTAAAGAGAAGCTCAGTAATAGCATAGCATTTTAACATCAGCATGTAACTCCTTTAATTTACAACTCTGCATTTTCTGTTTTCCAAATGGTGACGTATAAATAGTTTGATCTAAATAAACATTTTCTCAAGTACACTGACTTATATAAAAATAGCCAATTAATTAAAAACAAAATATTTTGATACAGTTGATATTTATTATCACTGTTTATTAGCATTTATTAACATTCATACTGGAAAAAGGTACCAATTAATACACATATTCATCATTGCTTTTATCAAATATGCTTGCTTACATACACTCACACATCTTTTTCCATATGACTATCTTACCTTGCATTTTTCAGTTGAGAATCTGTTGGTAAAAGTATCCGGATGTGGAAGTCTCTACCCTTGAAAATAAGCATTTAGTTAGTAGGAAGGCCAGCAAAGAAAAATTGTTTGATACTGTGGGCAATACTTCCTGAAAGTATTGACTGCTAAGCAAGAAAATTTCTCTTCTGTGACTTTCAGGAATATTACGCAGAATTTATTCATTTAGAAAAAAAAAAAAGCAGTATGAGTAACAGGTAGGAATAATCCTGGTTTTAATTCTCAACTTGAAATATTCTTGATCTCTGTAACTCACAGTATTCAATAAGAATGTTTTCAGTAGATCATATTTTATAAAGAAAAATAATACATTTCAAAAAGAAAAAAAGCATTACTCAGACCTGGACAGGCCATAATCCAAGTCATGCTGAAGTCTGTAAGAACATCTTTTCAACTCAAGGAAGAGAGTAGACTTTTATAATAAAGTACTATGCTAAAAAGGAACTTGGGCACTGACGCACAGAAGACTTTCAGCATCTTAGAAGCCATAAACTCAAATAGCCTCAACCACATTAACATACTTCTTGCCCCCACTGGTGCAGTCTTTATGAAGCAGCTCCTAAACACCATTCACTTCTATTTTCATTAACTGCTCCTATTCATGATCTTGCCCCGACATTCTCAAAGGATTATGAAAACAGAATTGAAATAAAGGTTTGTAAGACACCTCCCAGAAGTGGACAATTAACTTATCTCAAAACTTCAGATTCTCTTCCATCTCAGCACACCTTGAACTACTACCACAGATTCTGACATTTCTTCAGAAGAAAGGTAAGAACAACAGCAAATATATTCTAATTTTGTTTTGCCTTGACCCCAGCAAGGCTTTCAATACCTTTTTCCACAAGAGGCTCTCAGTGAGGTGGACTGAAAGCTGTTAAAGGTGCCAGGCTCTAAAGGTTGTGCTCAGCATGACAATGTCCAGATGGAAGCCACTGACTAAAAACACACACCAGGGGTCAACACTACTAAACCCTAGTTATTGACCCAGATGAGGGGACACTGCAGTCTCAGCAAGTATGCAGAGGACAGAAGACTGGAGGAAGCAGCTGATATGACATGAACTTGTAATAATACCATGCACCAAAGTACTAAGCAAGTAGAGGGCAGCTCTGCAGAAAAGGCCCTGTCTGATCCCAGTGGACACAGAGCTGACCTTGAGCCAGCAGTACGCCCTTGCACCAAGGGAGGTGAAGTGCCTCTAACGCTACATTAGGCAGAGCTGCCAGCAGGCCCAGGGGCAATGTTTCCTCTCTGCTCAGGGGTGGTAAGGCATTCCTGGGATGCAGTGGGACAGAGACACACTGAAGTTAGACCATGGAGAGCCACGAGGGTGATTTAAGCGTCTGAAGTACCCTTAAAGCCTGTGTGTACAAATTACACACAGCTGGGGGGAAGAGCAGCATCAGACGCTGTAGTATAGCCCTACAACGCCACACTGTTGGTGCACCAGCTCGGGGAGAACACAGATGAAACCTACTGCATTGATAACGAAGCTCTCTATGACATATGATTCAGAACACTGAAGTTAACTACGCCAACATACAGTGATCTGAACCATTTAGTGTCAGCCACCATGAGCAGTGTCACCACCTGCCTGCTTGCTTAATGCCGACCTGCGGAAGCAGGCGGTGAATATGGTTCCCTTCCACCTGCACTTTTTCATGCCTGGCTTTGCCCCTCTCACAAGCCATGGCAGCCAGCAGTACCGTGCTCTGACCGTCCCAGAGCTCATGCAGCAAATGTTTGATGCCAAAAACATGATGGCTGCGCGTGACCCACGGCACAGCCGCTACCTGACCGTAGCTGCTGTTTTCAGAGGCCATATGTCCATGAAAGAGGTAGATGAGCAAATGTCCAGAACAAAAATAGCAGTTACTTTGTTGAATGGATTTCTAATAACATTAAAACAGCGTTCTGTGACATTCCACCTCATGGCCTGAAAATGTCTGCCACGTTCATTGGTAACAGCACAGCCATCCAGGAGCTGTTCAGATGCATTTCAGAGCAGTTCACAGCCATGTTCCACCGAAAGGTTTTCCTGCACTGGTACACGGGGGATGGCATGGACAAGATGGAATTCACAGAGGCTGAGAGCAACATGAACGACATGGTGTCTGAGTATCAGCAGTACCAGGATGCTACTGCTGAGGAGGAAGGCGAGTTTGAGGAAGAGGCTGAGGAGGAGGCAGAGTAAGAGCTATGCTGATGACACCTGCAAGTTTTGTTTAAAGCTGTATGAACTGTCATTCAAAACTTCTGTGTTGTGTTCCTTCTCTTGTCTTCAAGTCACTTCCAATGCTGTATAGGCACCATTAAAGCATTTCTCATAGTGCAAAAAAAAGTTAAAAAAATAAAAAATTCCTGACAAAGAGAAAAGAACACACGGTCAGACTCAATGGAGTGACACACACCTAAGGGACAAGAGGCAGTGGGTATAAGTTTAAATATTGGAAGCTTCACTTAAATGCAGTGAGGTTGGGGGAGAACAGCAACAACAAAAAAAAAAAAAACAACACAAGAGAAACACTTGTTGGTAGTGTAGGTGGTCAAAGACTGGGTCTGCTTGCCTGAGAGGTCCTGGGGCTTCCATTCCTGGAGTTACCCAAAACCTGAATGCACACAACCTGCCCTAAGTCGCTGCCAAGGGACTCCAGAGAGTCCTACCACGTCTGCGATCCCCATCAGCAAAAACAAAGCGCCTGCCCCAGAGCGGAACACAGCCCACTGGAGCACCAACTGCTTCCAAACTCCTCCGAAGGCTGGAGCCTTTCAATAAGATCGTCAGTAACTTCAGACCCTCGCTACACCGCAGCCCCAGCCTCGATCCCACAGCCGCATCAGAGAGCAGCCGCTCACGCTAGCGCCTTGTTTGTCACGGCAGAGCCGGGCTGCGACCACACACGCTACAGAGCCGCGGCCGCAGCGCGGCACCCCCTCGCCTCACACGGAGCCGGGCGCCTCCGGGCAGCGCGGCGGCCCCGCTGCGCCGGGCTCCGTTCAGAGCCCCTCACACAGCCATCGAGCAGCGCGATGCGAGCGGAGCCGGTACCTGCACGCTGACGAAGCCCTCGTAGGCAGTCCCCTCGCCGTTCTGAGGCAGCAGCAGCGGGCACTGGCGGAACAGAGATCCCCGAGCCGCCATGCCGCCGCGCATCCGCGGCCCGCCACCATTCGAACCGCGCCGAGGCCCCGCCCATCAGGCGGCGCATGCGCGCGAGGCGCAGGGGCGTTCCGTGTGTTGGCGCCGGGCTGCGCTGCCTCTCCCGCCCGTCTGTCAGGCGGCCGCTGTGTGAGGCGCGCGCTCCTTCCCGCTTCGGGACGTCCTGAGGAAACGGGACTGAAGGAAGCCCTCGAATGGGGATCGTGATCTACAGCCAGCCATACGGCGATTAGCAGTTCGCGGTCACTGTGCTTGGGGAAGTCCGGAAAATGAGTTTTAAACAAGCCTCGGAGGGTTATTATATGCAGGTTGCTCTGAAAGTAATGCCTCCCGTTTATTAACACGGAAATTACAGCAAAGCGCACAATAACGCTGTCAAAACACAGATCTCTCCGCTACAAGGCACTCTTTTTCGACGGTCGCCATCGGTAGAGATGTATTTTCTCCGGCAATAAGCAAGAGCTCTTCGTTTTGTGGTGCGACAGCTGGGCATGGCTGCCTGCAACATGGCCACTGCAGCATCCCCACCTCACTGTGCTCACACCCGCTGTCTGATCTCCATCCTTGTTCAGCAAGTGTCAGTGAATATCAGCGGTGCTGTTTTTTCTTCCTGGAGGAATTCAGTGATGCTCTTTTTCTTCTTAAGCACTTCCACGTCGGATGCCGTCCTGTCACTGTGCCCCTGTGTCTCACGGCGACAAAATGTAATGGAATATTGGCAGGAAGGTTCAACCTGTACTGCCACACAGACAACATCTACCTCTGATGTCGTGGGCCATCGTAATAAATAAGGCATTACTTTTGGAGCAGTCCTCATACATGTTTCAAGAGGCCCTACAAACTTGCCTATAACTCAGGCTGTCGTATACCTTTAAAACAGTGCATCTCAACCTGCAAAAAAGTGCAGATTTCCAGCAAATTTTCAGTGTTGCTGAGAAAAACACGTTCAGTTCCTTGTTAGAACCAAAGCTTGTCATCCTGATGTTGCTTTAGAATGCCCCCTCCAAAGCAAGATTCAAACCAAGAAAAGTTTTCAAGTACATGCACTAACAGGTTTTAAATGCCATTATGTTTTACCTATGCTCATAGTTTCCTCCATAAAGCTGTTCATCACAGAGAGATGAGGTTTGACGGGAGTACTTCATAAGGCAAAGGAGTCCTGATTTGATTTTTCAGCCACAGGTCACCTTTATTAGTCTGATTACAATCATTGCTTGCCAGAAGAATCACAAGACATGTTATTAATTGTTTGTCCATTCAAATATGATTTTCAGATAGTTAAGAAGTCAGAAAATAAAATCATGAATAGATGTCAAGATCCCCAGTATGGAGACTGGACTCTTGAAAGCAGTAATTTCTGAATATTCAATAAGCTAGATTTTGTTACTAAAGTTATTCCATGAAGTCAGAGACAGCAACTGCATTCACCAAAAAAAAAAAAAAAAAAAAGCAATTCATATGAAACCACTTAGTAACTTAAGAAAGTGACATTGTTTCCATGAATTATTTTTAAGCTTGATTTTTTATATATGTGCCTACTGTGAAATGCATCCTTAGAAAGTTTGTAGATGACACCCAGTTGGATGGAGGTGTCAATATGCCTGAGGGTAGGAAGGCCCTGCAGAGCGATCTGGAAAGGCTGGATTGCTGGGCTGAGGCCAATGGGACAAAGTTCAACAAGTCCAAGTGCCAGGTCCTGCACTTTGGCCACAGCAGCTCCTGGCACTGCTACAGGCTTGGGCAGAGTGGCTGGGAGACTGCATAGAGGAAATGGACCTGGGGGTACTGATCAGTGCTTGGCTGAACATGAACCAGCAGTGTGCCCAGGTGGCCAAGAAGGCCAATGGCATCCTGGCTTGTATCAGAAATAGT